CTGCGTCGACGTGAAGCTATTGTGCCTCAGTACGTGAGGCCGAAAACTTTGGCAACTTCCGGGTCCACCACTACTGCTACCACAACGACGCCCACCACCGCCAATAGCCTTGCACCTCCGCCGCAGCCATCCGCCAAAAACCGCTCTCACAGCATGGATCGAATATCCGACATATCGTCATATACGAATGTTACGCGAAAGGTGCGGATATTTAGTTCAAAATAACAATAAAACTTTTCCACATTTCCTTTCAGGTATTTGCACGTGGAAAATGGGATAGCGTGAAACAAATCTCATTTTATTTTCATGGGAAGGAACAACCGCATGAAATTTCAGCTTCCTAGCTTCTCTGATTGCTGAGTTGAAAGTGGGTGAGTGTAACTGAAAACTTACAACTGAACTGCTTTCCAGGAGCGCCAAAACGAATCCGCTCGTTCGTCGCCAACCAGAAGCCTTCACAGGTATCGTCATGCGCCAGCTCCACTGAGTAGCCATCAGTCCCGTCTGATGTCTCGATCTGCGTACGAGAAGACTGCAAGGCGTGAGGAGCGGCGTCCTCACACCATGCCGAACGGTTTCATTTCGGTGGCGCATTTCAGCGAGGGAGCTGAAGAGCAGCTACTGAAAACAATCAACGAGCTTGTTACAACAGAGGAAAATTTCGTACGCGATGTCCAGAAGGTCATATTTATTACTCCCAAAACGTCTGAAAAGAAACTCGGAGTTCGAAAATCATGTTAATTGAAAAAAAAATTTTTTTACAGCTGGTTAATCAGTATTTGAAACCAACAAATTTAGTGCTTTTGGAAACGTCGGATCGCCTTTTGCGAATTCAAACCTCATTTCTGTTATCGCTTCTGGATGCAGCTGGTGATGCTGCTCATTCAGTCACTACTTCTCAGCAGCAGTTACGGGTCAGCGTTATGATCTTTTTTGATTTTTCATAAAATGTAGTCTATAAATTTTCGAAAACTGAGCTTCGTTCAAGCAATATGGACAGCACTGAAGTTTTCCAGCAAAGAAAGGAGGAGAAGAAAGAGAGAGTACCAGGAGTGGAATAAATGCGGAGTTTTCAGAAACTCTGCTGAAAAAGCTTAAAACATTTAGCAGTTTTGTAAAGGCAGTAAGATATAGAGAAATAAAGGTACCCCATGTGACTAGGGGGCCGGCAATTTTGTTCCAAACAAGGTACTGATGCCCAATACACACCAAATTAAATGTCAAAGCGGCTAAAGCCTGGTCATGCATTTTTGTCAGAAGAAACGATGGTAATTCCTGCAGGAAACAAATCGAACTTAAGTATCAATAACGCACTGACCAACAGGTTATGTAGCATCAGTCAAAGCAACTGAAACAAAGGCTGGAACGCACCAGGCAAGCCGGTGCGATCATGCGTTTTTGCATCAAAACTAAAG